CCCACACAGGGCCAAGTGCAGGGTAACAGTGCAGGGTCTGTATAGAGGGGACTATAAGCACCCCTAGGACACTTGCCCCATCACCACCTGCTGCCGGAGGGGCCCAGCAACATAGATGGGGGAGTCTGACCCCGTTCCCCCCAGAAGCTTATGATGACTCCCCCCGGTGGCAATGGTGGGTCATACCTGTGCTTGGCACATTTGCCATGTCCCCATCACAGTAGCGCGAGTCCCCTGCTCCGCCAAAGTGGACACAGGGGCCACTGTGACGCTGGTGTGGCCTGATGTGGGGCCACCTGGAACCAGCTAGAGGCGACCTCTGTGCAGGTGCACATGGTGACTGGTGAGGTGACCCACATGAGAGGGAGGGGGATGCTGTCCGTGGTTGTTGGAAGCAGGACAATACGTCATCCAGCATGGGTAGCAGCAATACAGGAACCCTGCATCCTTGGGTTAGACTACCGGCTGCTGGCCAGACCTAGAGTGCAAGACTCTAAGCTTCCGGGGAGGGCCTGCCATCATGCTGCCCTCTGTGGTCACTCCCCCCAACACACCCTGCGCTCAGCCAGTCATTTCAACTGGAATTCAGACTGACTGCCCTCAATATCTGTCACAGCCCCCTGTGAAGCTGCCAGTCCAGAGTGAGCCTTTCCACTCCCAACACCCAGAAGCAGCTCCAGATCCCTGGGCCTGACCTCCTATTACAGGAGGTTCCTGGGGGGTTCTGCTTGCATGGCTGCCCCTCTGTTCCATCTGCTGCACAGGGACAGGGAGTTTGTCTGGTCACTGCAGTACCAGGAGGCCTTCTGTAGTCTGCAAAAGGCCCTGAGTGAGGCCCTGGTGCTGCCCCCACTGACTTGTCCCTCCCCTTTACCTTAGAGACTGATGCCAATGGGTTAGGCGCTGAGGGGGTGCTCTCCTCGGGGAAGCCGGATGTAGAAAGGAGGGTCATGCACTATAGCCATGACAACAAGGTGGCGCGGCACTACAGTGCCCCTTGTAGGGAGCTGCTAGCAGTGTTGCTTTACATCAGGCACTGGAAGTCCTGCCCATGTGGCCTGCCTTTCACTGTCAGGGCAGACCCCTGGGCCTTCAGGGAACCAGAGGGGCAGGTGGCCAGGTGGCTGAGTACAACTTTCCAGCCATGCACAGAGCTGGCGCCCGACACTCCAGGGTAGATGCTCTTTGGTGCCGCTTTTGTGCTGCAGTTGGGAGCCTATACCGTGAACGGAGGGACGTCTGGGACTAGGAGCTGCTCCTGGGGGTGGGGGGGGGGGGCTGTGCATCAGCGTGCCAGGGAGAGGCGCTCACCTGCCCTGACCTGCAGGCTGTCACAGTGTCAGACTAGAGGCAGGGACAGGAGCGGACACTGACCTGGTGCTGGTGCTGCAGGGGGTGGTGGCCCAGCCTGTCCGCCCCCTGCCAGACTCATCAATGTGAGATATGAAGAAAGACTATCCCTTCTTCCATACCCCCCTCCCCTCCCCCTGAGCCACTTGACTTTGAGTGTGGCAATATCTCCTGGAAATTGAGGGCAGTTTTGCCTGAGCGAAAGCGGAGGTGGGTCAGACCCACTTAGCATAGGACTGGGCGATATCACCGATATTTCAACTTATTGTCATATAAACTTATATGAAAATTCAGTAGACTGTCAATAAGAAACAATGCTTGGGTCAAAATTATACAAAACAGGCTCAAATATATACATACATTCACCTAAATCTTTTAATAAATGGTGCTGAAGGTTCTAGAATGTGTTTTAACTTCACAAGGCTAAGACCGTTAGTGATCATGATTGACTGTAGCTGGTAGTTTCTCTTTGACAGCATAAAAAGGATTTCTTTGTCAGCACTCATTGGATTGACAAATACTCAGAACAATTGTAAAGTCCAAGGAACTCAGTGATGATCTAAGAAGGAGAATTATAGAAGTTGGGAAAGGATTATAGAAGTTGGATTGCCACCTTATTGTGGTGGAGGGGTTTGCATGCCTCAGTGACCCTGGGGGCTATATTGTCGGGGGCAATAGCCCCTGGTAGGGTCTCCCAAGGCAAAAAGGTCCCAGGGGAGGGGCCAGACAAAGAGCAATCCAAAAGAGCCCTATGATAAAGTATTAAAACGAAGTCCCGTTTCCCTCGCCTGGACTAGGGTCACCGGGGCCCCACCCTGGAGCCAGGCCTGGGGGAGGGGCCTGTTGGCGAGCGCCTGGTGGCCGGGCCTTGGCCCATGGGGCCCGGCCGGGCATAGCCCGAAAGATGCACGCGGGACTGTCTCCAGGTGGGCCCGCAGGGGGAATGTCAGGGGTTCGGTGCTTTGTGGATCGGGTGGCGGCCAAGGGAGGCCCTGGCGGTCCGATCCCTGGGTGACAAAACTGGCTTGACACTCGGGTAAAGAGAGGGGCAGAGCTGTCAACTGATCACCACCTGGTGATGAGTTGGCTCAGGTGGCGGGGGAGGAAGCCGGTCAGACCTGGTAGGCCCAAGCGCATAGTGAGGGTCTGCTGGGAACGTCTGGCAGAGGCTCCTGTTCGCCGGAGCTTACACTCACACTGCATACCGGGGGAGGTTGGGGACATTGAGTCTGAATGGACACTGTTCCGGACCTCCATTGTGGAAGTGGCCATACGGAGCTGTGGTTGCGGGGTGGTCGGTGCAAGTCGTGGCGGTAACCCCCGTACCCGATGGTGGACACCAGAGGTGAGGGGGGCCGTCAAGCTGAAGAAGGAGGCTTACCGGGTCTCCGGAGGCAGCTGACGGGTACCGGCAGGCCAGGCGGAACGCGGCTCGGGCAGTCGCAGAAGCAAAAACCCGGACGTGGGAGGAGTTCGGTGAGGCCATGGAAAGTGACTTTTGGTCGGCCTCAAAAAGTTTCTGGCAAACCATCAGGAGGGGGAAGCAGCTCCTGGTTCCTACTATTTATAGTGGGGAGGGGGTGCTGTTGACCTCACCTGGGATATTACCCCGGAGGTGGAAGGAATACTTTGAGGACCTCCTCAACCCTGCCTCAGATACATCTACGCACACTGCCTTCGAGACATCTGAGGGCACAGATCCCGAGGGTGCTGGGGGGTGTTGCCCATCACTGGGGCTGAGGTGGCCAGGGTGGTTAAAAAGCTCCTCAGTGGCCGGGCCCCGGGGGTGAATGAGATCCACCCGGAGTTCCTTAAGGCTCTGGATGCTGTGGGGCTGTCCTGGTTGACACGCATCTGCTGCATCGCGTGGACATTGGGGGCAGTGCCTCTGGACTGGCAGACCGGGGTGGTGGTCCCCCTCTTTAAGAAGGGGGACCGGAGGGTGTGCTCCAACTATAGGGGGATCACACTCCTCAGCCTCCCAGGTAAGGTCTATTCGGGGGTTCTGGAAAGGAGGGTCCATCGGATTGTCGAACCTCGGATTCAGGAGGAGCAGTGTGGTTTTCGCCCTGGCCGTGGAACAGTGGACCAGCTCTATACTCTCCGCAGGGTTCTGGAGGGTTCATAGGAGTTTGTCCAACCAGTCTACATGTGTTTTGTGAACTTGGAGAAGGCATTCGACCATGTCCCTCGGGGAGTCCTGTGGGGGATGCTCTGGAAGTATTGGGTACCGGGCTTCCTTTTAAGGGCTGTTCAGTCCCTGTATGACCGGTGCCAGAGCCTGGTCCGCATGGGCAGCAATAAGTCGGACTCATTTCCAGTGAGGGTTGGACTCTGTCAGGGCTGCCCTTTGTCACCGATTCTGTTCATAGTTTTTATGGACAGAATTTCTAGGCGCAGCCAGGGCATTGAGGGTGTCTAGTTTGGTGACCTCAGGATTAGGTCTCTGCTTTTTGCAGATGATGTGGTTCTGTTGGCCTCATTGGACCGTGATCTTCGGCTCTCACTTGGACAGTTCAAAGCTGAGTGTGAAGCGGCTGGAATGAGAATCAGCACCTCCAAATCCAAGACCATGGTCCTCAGCCAGAAATGGGTAGAATGCTCTCTCCGGGTCGAGGATGGGGTCCTCATCCAAGTGGAGGAGTTTAAGTATCTTGGGGTCTTGTTCACAAGTGAGGGGACGATGGAGCGGGAGATCGATAGGCGGATCAGTGCGGCGTCCGCAGTGATGCAGGCGCTGCATCGGTCTGTAATGGTGAAGAAGGAGCTGAGCCAAAAGGCAAAGCTCTCAATTTACCAGTCGATCTACTTTCCTTCCCTCACCTATGATCACGAGCTGTGGGTAGTGACCAAAAGAACGAGATCGCGAGTGCAAGCGGCCGAAATGAGTTTCCTCTGCAGGGTGGCTGGGCTCTCCCTTAGAGATAGGGTGAGGAGCTCGGTCATTCGGGAGGAACTCAGAATAGAGCCGCTGCGCCTCCACATTGAGAGGAGCTAGATGAGGTGGCTCAGGCATCTGATGCCTCCTGGACGCCTCCCTGGTGAGGTGTTCCGGGCATGTCCCACTGGGAGGAGGCCCCGGGGAAGACCCAGGACACACTGGAGGGACTATGTCTCTCGGTTGGCCTGGGAACACCTCGAGATTCCCCCAGAGGAGCTAGATGACGTGGCCGGGGAGAGGGAAATCTGGGTTTCCCTGCTGAGACTGCTGCCCCTGCGACCCAACCTCAGATTAAGCGGGAGATGATGGATGGATGGATGGATGTTTTTATTTTCTTCTTAAATATTAAGATACCAAAACCATACCATTACTGTGGTCCAAAAACCGTGACATATACCGAACCATGGGAAAGCTGTACCATTACACCCCTATTCCCTACCTGTGCTAGTCCTTGCTCTCTGTATTTGCACCTGGTTCTGCTGTGTCCCAGTTGCCCTATCCCTGCTGTTCCTGTCCCATACCCTGATTTTACCCTTATTAAACCCTGTTCTCATCCTTCCTCGCCTCTGGATCTCTGCCTCCTTTTCTGCCCCCCCTTACACCCGGTCGTGACACACTGAGCCTCCACACAACAGAAGTTATTAAATGTATTAGAACCACCCACCTCCATTTACACACATAATAAGTATGACAATGCAGGGAAACTCACCCAATTTAAAAATGTTGTTAATCCAGGACAAGAGTTCGAAATAAATAACAAGGATCAGCATGTTAAATAGTATTGGACGATCTGTAAGGGCAAACAGAACAAATCAGACATCCTCATTCTCTCATCTGTCTATACAGATATAACATGATATTAAATAACAAAGTATCCTTGGGCTTTTCTTCCCGCTAAGATAAATCCTGCCGTCCCCAGGACCCGACTGCACTGTGAGGTCATGCACAGTAAGGCCCATGATCTGAGGGCAGCGGGGGTCAAAAGACAGGCCAAGGAGTCTAATGCTCTCACGAGTCAGTGGGTCTCTTGGAACCCCATGAGGGCTGGCACATCGACACATCAACTGGGGGGGGGGATCCTGCTGCCCTGTGTGGTTGTCAGGCGCACCCCCAGCCCGTACACCCTACATGTCACCCTACATCAGGTCCACACAATAACATCCCACTGGGTAAAATGTGAGGTGCACAGGGTACAAGCAGGGGCGCTGCTAAGGATTTTGGACCCCATGAAAAGAATCTTGACAGGGCCCCCAACACAGCTGAGACTTTTTTCTCTGGGCCCCCTCTCAGTCATGGGCCCCGAGAATCGTCATCGTTTACCCCCCCTTTACAGCGCCCCTGAGTACAAGTGTAATCTGTCAAACACCATAACCTGCAAACTCCACAGAAAATGCAGAGGTGGGACTCAAAGCCCCAGCCTTGTAGTTAAGAAGCAGCAGTGCTACTCACTGGGCCTGTGTGCCACGGAAAATAAAACAGCTCTAAACCTCATTCTGGCCAGAAATCTTAATATGCCAATGGACATAAATGTTAATGTGAACTAATAAATCCACATAAATTTACTCACGCATGAAATAAGCCATGATTTCAAGAATGTCTCTAAGTCGTACTGTTTCTCCCATCCTTCGGGAGCGTATTATCCGAAACACACCGAGACCAACTGAAATAAGGGAAGAATAGAGTTAGTCAGCATGAAATTCATGTCAGAGTGAAAAAAAAGATATGTTCAATGATCTTATGTCTAAATCCCTGCACAGCACTGTCACCTAGGGGTTCTGAGTTTGAATTCCATATTGGACATTTAAAGTGTATCCGATAACAGTTTACAAAGCAGATTTAAATGGCTTATGAAAGGTTAAACAAGTTTGCTTCAGCTGGGTATTGCATCATTGTACTCTAATTGTGCTGAAATTAATTATGGAAATCACATTTAAGTATTAGTGTCATTCAAATGCTCAAGTTTAACGTTTCTGTGTTTAATTCATTACAGTGTATAAAATAAATATCCCAATACCTAATACTACTCTACTAATTAACTTACCTGGGAATAAAACCATGATGACTGGAAACATTAATAAAGTGACAAATGTTCCAAGTTGTCCTTTCAAAGTTGAATCAGAATAATATTTTGCCAGAAAAACACTGGCAGCAGCTAAAATAATGTAAGAATAGAGTCAGTCACCATGAAATTCATGTCAGACAGAGTACAAACACACATGCGTTCACTGGTCCTGCACGGAGCTGTCACCTGCGGGTTCTGGGTTTGAATTCCTTATTGAACATTGTGGTATGAAAAGTATATCCCTAAATGTTTGAGTTGAACATTTTATCATATGTTCCTAAAAACATACTAATTGTGAAAAATTTATTTTATCATCCATGTTGTACATTTCTGAAATCCCAGCAGCCAAAACAGAAAAATAACATATCCATCCATCCATCCATCCATCCATAACCACTTCTCAAGTACAGTTCCAGGGTGAGACTATCCCTAAAAAGCACAGAGCAGGGTACAGCCTGGTGGGCTGCCAGTCCATCACAGGGCACATCCACTCACACACAACGGGCCATTTTTAGACCCCATCTTACCTAAATGCGTGTTTTTTTTTGGGGGGGGGGGAGCACAGCACCTGCAGGCAGAGGCGTCATGCTGATAGAAACTGAAGGGGCTCAGGGTTTTAGATTTAGGTACCAGATTGTTTAGCCTGTTTCACAATATTTTTCGAGTGACAGTTCATATAGTTATCATATAATTATCATTGCTAGCGATACCTTTTTTTCTGTATTTACGGTGTTTAAATTATTTCTGAACAGCATCAGTCACTATGTGCTCAATTAGCAACTTTTTTTTCCTTGTAATTTCACAACATAAGGAATGATGTTACTAATCAAACCTACAACTCACATGATCCTTTGCTTCAGTTTACATGGCAGTGAAGAGCTAGACAACAGGTCCATGAAAGGAGTGCAGTGACAGGTAGCATACAGCATTTAGTGAAACAAAAGTTTGGAAACACATTAACATTTATTGACTGAACAGCTAATATGCTGATTACTGCATTTTATCATTCAAATACAAAATCATGTTTAGTCCTGTAAAAAAATGTGACGGGTGAGACACAGATTGCACACCTAGGCTAGTCTAATACACAGCTAGATTATCATGGTTAAACAAAGAAGCCTGAGGAAATGCTGCATCAGAGACAGAACAAGCTTAGACCACAGCTTGGGATAGAAGAACAAATCTAATCACTTTGCTCATTTAATATTCAGATCTTCATTAAGCTTCATTTTTAGAAACCCACCACGGTTGAAGATGGTATGGAACTGATATTTAGTCTTTACCACATTTTGTTATTAGTTGTTCTGGGTTATCTGTGTATGCTAATTTGTCTGAGTGTTGTAGTACTTATCCATGTGCAAACCTCAATTCTAGAGATACAAACGTCCTTTCTAGAGAGCCTACAAACAAAATAACTGATTTTTCATAGTAATATGCATTCTCTAGTTAAACCATTTAGCCTAGTCACGAGGTAGCACACATGAGCCATTTCTGTGGCTTTTATTCTCTTGCCCTATTCATTGCAATCGTGGTGGGTTAAAAAAAAAAAACACTATTCCAGGGGTGGCCAACCAGTCAGAGACCAAGAGCCACATTTTTTACTGTGTTACTGCAAAGAGCCACATCATGCACATGGGCACACATGAACATCACCCATCCCTTCCTCTCTCTCACACACACACACCTCTGCCTAGCCAGATTTATTGTAAATGTCACACACCAACATGATAATGACAGAAATTGACTCCTACAGTACTAACACCACAGGCCAGTCATTTTCAACAATGTGTGCACTGTCTCACACACACAAACTCTCAGTTCCACCAAGTCCACAAACAAAAATATTATAATTTACAATAGCGTTTTTCTTTTACTATGCATGTTGCTTAACTCTCATCCAATGTGACACTAAAATACTCACATGCTTGAAGGTCAGAGTGCAACTGTGATTCAATAGCCGTGTTAATGTCCGATATTCTGTGTTCAACAGTGTGGTGGGACAGTTGTACGTCTGATACCATGCGTTTTAGTTTGTCGTTTTCAGGAGACAAGATTTCAACAACGTCACTGAAGCATTTTTTAACAAACTCCCCTTCATTGTATGGCTTTTTAACCCATGCAATGTTCCAAGCCAGTTGATACGATGCGAGCGTTACGGTCTCTGAGCAGTGAGCACTTCGTAAATTTTTGGAAAAACTGTATCTGCTTTTCTGCCTGACTGTTCAAAGTGACGAACTCGTGCTTGCGAAGTTCAGTCCCTTTTGGAAATTCCTGGTCAATGTTAGCATGGAGTGAGCTGAAGTGGCGCTGAAGATTTGAAGCTTTGAAATGCGCTAATGACGCCTGACATACAAGGCAGAATGGCTTGCCATTACATTCAACAAAAAAATATAAACTCTCCCACTCTGTTAAAAATGTCCTGTGTTCATCTTCATATTTTCATTTTGCTGTGCATTTTTCCCCTGCCATTTTGAGAGCGAACTTGACACAAATTGTATATTTAAATGATCTTGCCCCTACTGGGAAACTTTGTGGTATTTTCATCTCACGCACATGCGCATTTGATATAAATACCATATTGAACTCAAGCAAAGCGAACACGCACATAAAAAAAAAAAACACAAACACAAACTTCGATATGAACGTAAGAGCCGCATGAAACCAGGCAAAGAGCCGCATGCAGCTCGGGAGCCGCGGGTTGGCCACTCCTGCTCTATTCACTCAAAGACAGTACTATATCATGCTATGCAAATATATACCCAGCACCATTGGTCTACAGGGGAGTAGGCGGTTCCAGGAACTCTACAGAGAGGGTATTACAAATGTCCTGACACCTTTCTGCGTATGTTAATCATCTAAGGGCAGGACCAGGAACCAAATACTAACCTATCCCTTTAAACTATATACCACTCGCATATTCCACTACTTTTCCTAAAGTTCTTCCTCTGACTTAACATCAATATACGATAAAACCACACATCAGGAAAAAAAAAAAAATCACCAGGACCACAGCTTTGTAACCTCCAAGAACAATCAGAACTGAAATAACAAAACTTCAAAACAAAACAAGAAAAATCTGTAAGGTCCTTTTTGGTCAGAGTCTTTCTCATGATGGTGGGTAAATCTGGGCTGGCTCTTCTGATCCTCATGACTTGTGCACATATTATAATGGGGCAGATGTTTGGAGGTGGAGACTCATTGACTT